AATTTGATAAAAGAACGCGTCCTTTTCCCTCTAATTTTCTACGTTTTGCAAATATTTTATTCCATTAATTAATCTTTTTATTTTTCATAATCATTTTTGGGAGTTGTTCACTCTTAAAGTGTCTCTTATTCTTTCATGTAAAAATCTCGCTCGGTTGAACCCGATATTTCTGAAAAGCTTGGTCGCCAATGGAGTCGAAGGGCTCTAAATTTTCACTGCGGAATACAACTGTGATATGATACATATCCATATTAATGTTTTCATGGATAAGCTGAACTATCAGTTTCACGTATGAACAAAGTCACCACGTACTTACCGACCAGAGCCTGCGAAATGGTAAAGCCAAGAAGGGTGCTAAGAATGAAAACCGTCAGGGCGCTGGTTTGACACAGAAAAACCGCCATGCAAGCATACAAGAACTCTTACGTGTTGACAAAAGTATGACAAACCATGTATACTGATTATGGAGCCCAGCACTATTTACCTGTTAGAACCAAGCCCATTCCAAAGAGAAGGCAGCTGATTTGAGAGCTGCAAAATTGAGTGATAGAAAATTCTGTTAGCCAACAACAGGTGTTTCAGTACATTGCAAAAACGTTTATTTCGAGTGGAGCAATTAGTCACGAGAGGCTTCATTTAAAAAATCTATTTTCTATCTGAAAGGTAAATGAGGAGATTTCCTACGGGCAATATAACTTTACACAGCATGTTGCGATGAGTTTTCCGACTACAATCAAAACAACACCTATCATCAGAAAATTCTAGAGCTGCACGTTTTGAAAATAAAATCGTTATCATTTTGACATCCGAAGCATTTTTCAACCATTTAACCAACTCCGGGAGCACGCTTAATGATGCTTAACAGGATTACGAGTATTCGTGAGTTTTAGGCATTTTTTTGGACTTCTCAATTACACAATGCTCGAGAAAAATTTTAGCCGGACCGGCATCAGTTGAAATGAAATAATTTACACTTACACTCTTACAGATAAGATGTTGTGTTAATATTCAGCTCTAGTTTTATTAACTCAGCAGTATGGTGTATGACCCTGAAATCTTAAAATACTGTATTCCAGCAGTACGAGATAAAAATAAATTGCAAGACTGAAATGTCTTTGACGATTCAAGTGAGGAGGCAAAAACTACATGGAAATTAATCTTGTTTATTGGCTCACTCATTTCACAAATACATGAGGATATCTTACAAGAAATATACTAGTGAACCTCTCACTGTTGCTATTTACTGAAAAAAAAAACAGTAACTATCTTCTCTTTTCCGTCAGAACTCCATTTTTCGCAAAAAGAAAGTCGCTTCCGACGTGAATATGTCTTAGAGACAAGAAAGTGGACTTTTATCAAAGCTGAAGCGGTATCAGTTCATTTGTTATTTCCTACTGTGCAACGAAGAGTAATTGAGAGTAGATCGTTGACATAGTCGATCATCGTCATCATTCACCTAATTATCTGAATGTTATACCCCTCTTCCATTAAGCGCTTTGTTTGCAAGTCCTCCCCCATTTATGATGTTTCCGCTATCGGTAGGCGTGAGTGAGCATGCTGACTAACTGACCCTGAGAAAGATTGAACAGTTGCTGTTATAACACTAACCTAAAAAAGTCTACAAGAATCTCATAAATGAACAACTACGCACTTCATGCGTTCAATCAATCTTTGACTGCGTAAGGCAAAACAAGAACCTTCGTGTGGGTCCAAAGCAAAATCAGTCGACAAAGTAAGCACGTCCTTTTCTGGAAGATAAACTAGACAGTCACAATTTTGGAAACTCACCTTAAAAGCTTAAACCTACTTTGAATTTATAAAGAAACTACATTCTGAATATAAACGAATGACAAATTCACACTGAACTGACTAAATACTGACTTCATAGCACCTTTACAAGATAATTAATTTTATGTGATTGACAATGTAAGTCCTTGCTGTGTTTAGGTCAATGGAAAATTCAGCCACTATCCGTTCATTTAAATTGCTTACGTACAGAGGTTTCCGTTCAGAGGTGTTGGTTACGGTTTATCACTTTACCCAACTTAAAAGTAGGTCTTCGTAATAATGATTACTACCGAAGTAGTTATGAAAATAAGGCCTGAAAAAATTCAGGCCCTGACGAGATTTGAGGCCATGACCTCAGGCCTAATTTTCACTACCGCTCGGGTAGTGATCATTACTGCGAAGATCGCTTTCATATTCATTCCTTAATCTGCAGCTCGCATATATGAGTTTCATATGTTCACAGTCATTACTTGTTGTAAAAACTCAAACTTCAAGGATTTAGGTTTGAATGGGATTCAACCAAGTGACGCGCCTCCGACTTACGGAACAACTTTGGTGAGGATACATCCATGTTATGCAATCAGTGTACAGACCAAATAAATCCTGACATTTCCCCTCTTTCTTAAAAGGGCGATCTCTTCTAGAGAGGGGCCAAGGTTTATTTCAGCATTTCTCGACGATAAAACAAGCATAGATGTTCTTATTGATATTTAAAAAACTGCTCTTGCCAAAGAGGAAAAAAAATCATCTCCTGCCACACCAAATGTAGAACAATGTGTGATAACTTTTCATATCAATGTTATTTGAGTCAGTACCATCTTGTAAAAGTAAATCTAAGGATACTTGAGGGGTGACTTGTCACACGAAGGTAAATATAACAAGATGCGAGAATACATAGTAGGTTCCTTGTTAATCTGTCTTATGTCCTGCATGAGTGAGGATTCACTCCGTATACGATGATCAAAACCTTTACTTGGCCGCTATCATAACAGAAATTTGAGATATGATAAATACAGCGTTATTTTAAACTGAAGTATTCTAAGTCAGTCAGGATAAATACTTTTCCATACGCAGGTTATTCCGAGTTCGATCGTGCGAACCGACTCTGTGCGAAAAAATATTTTATATTTATGTATTCAAGTCTACGCTTCTCCCTATCTTAGAATAACCATCATTTGCTTGACAATGGCGTCAGGACGGCACCGAAATGTTGTTTTTTTTTAGTAAAAGTGCGTCGATAACTGTTGTATCAAAGTAGAGTTCGCAGTCACGAGAAACCATGACAAACTGTTTCAACCCGTCATTATTACTTGCCGGCTTGACATAAGGTTCAAAAACAATTTAGAAGGCACACTGGTAGGTTCATACAACATCTTTGTAAGCATTTTTTTTTTCTCATATCAACATGACTGTACAAGTGCTATAGTCACTGTCATTGTAGCTACAGAAAGTTTTATAGTCATCGTATTCATACAATCTTGCCCAAACGTCTTGGAAGTGTACAAAAGTAATAGCAAATCGAGAATTCTTACACGAACAAATAGCCGCAGTCAGTATTGAACTAGAACACTTAACTGAGATTGTGATTAAAATTTCAAAGTTCCCTGCTGATTTCAATCCCCTCTTCGATCGCTCAATCAATAAAACAATAGAACCCCAACAGTTACAATCAAGTCCAGTAGCCAACCTCAATGACGTCACACTGGCTCAAATGAGACTTGTGAATAGCTAATGACACGCTGACTGATAACTGATCGACTGGTGATCTACGAGTCGAGGGACAAAAGGGGCGTAAATCTTCCCTGTCCAAAAAAAAAGAATGAATCAGTATTTATAGATTATAAAAAACACAACATAAATCCCACTATTACTGCTCACAAAGAGAAAGAAAAGACAAGTTATAAAGGAGCTCAATATTTCACAATTTGACTTGACAGGTGTTAAAAAACTCAATACTAAGAATAGGCAATTTAAAAATGTCAATATCTAATATTAATGAAGTGGTTGAAGTTCATGGACAATAACACTACTGGCCAAGCGCAAACCGATAACCGCATTTTTAGGAATTATCTCTAATTCGAGAAGAGAAGTTAAAAAAATTGCTTACTTTATGATATTCAGTAATGAACTATGGTTATCAATGTTATTGCGTACTTTTAGTTTCCTCGTAAATTGCTCTTTCAACGAAAAAATGAAGACTAACGACTAGTTATCGTACATTATCACCAATGATTACACTAAAAACAAGATATGAGACAAAATATCTCAGACAAGGTCAGACAACTTAATGTTATCGCAAACCGTAATGCTAACTTTTACCTGCAAAATAAAGTTTCAGAACTGTCACGATTAAGTTCTATAAAAGATTTAGTCTATATATATTTTTTTTCTTTGTTTTCTTTACAAAACCAAAACGCGGTGTGCTGAATAAAAACGCAGGCAGAAAAATAAATCAGAGATGCCAAATCCCGGGGAGAAAGTTAAAACCATTTTAAACCACATGGTCAATTGGTTTAATGAAAAAACTGTTGTGATTTTAAGTTGAAATTCATTGAATTTCTTTATTAAGTGAAGGAAACGTTTCAAAACGGTTGTCTTACGGGGTTTTTCTTGATAAAAAAAATTCTTTTGATTCGCTTGCAAAGCATCTACACATGCCTAAAGTAAGGGTATTTCATGTCTAAAGAATAGATAGCCAATTAGCGATTCAAAGAGAGACCCACCGTTTCCAAATTACAAAAGAAATTGTTGACAAAACGGTTCAAAGATACCTACTAATTAAAATTTTTTATAACTTCGCTCTTAAAATTATTTATGCCAAGATATTATGTTTCAGAAGATATTCCAGTTCCCTTCATCACTCAGGTTTGATAAGCTAAGCCCACGATTTTTTCGAAGTTAAAAACAGTGAACTTCCACCAGGAAGCGATGGTGTTCAAAACTGTTAATAGAAATATGGAAAAAGCAAAGTTTTCTAGCGTCATAACAATATGACCTCAACCCTATTCATTGTCTGTTCTACCCTTGGTAACTCAAGGCTTTGACATTGACAAAACCCTGAATTTTCTTGTTTCTTTTCAACTGTAATTGGCCGTATGAAAAATTAATTAATCGATTGTCACCTAATTAAGTGATTCTTCCCCCACTTGATAATAAGCTTATTAACACGACCACCTAGTCCTTATAAACATTTGAACAAGTTACCCGTTGAACAATTCGATCTCGGCCTGTTTGAACGAAGCTTACGGCATAAAAGCAACTTTTTCAGGGTATTGGACCGGGTTAAAATGGCTTTGAAGTTTGGTTTCATTCTTCTCTTGGCTGGGTTTGTCGGGATTCTCAAGGTTCAAGCTGCCTCGGTTGCCATAGAGAAGGATATCTGGAATAGCCTGCGTCAAGGTGATTTTAGTGTCCGTGTCGGATTTTCTGTAGTTGAGATAATGTTTTTCACACTATGAGGATTCGTAATGTCTCGCTTAATCTACCGGTTTTCGGTGAAGTATTGTTCTTCTTAAACATATGTATAAGTGATCTTTCCTCGACCTTGATCTTCAACTTGGTTTAATTTTCCTTTCTACCAACATGACTAGAGCGCGGAGCCAGAAAATTTTTATTTTACCGTTTTCTAAAGTCACTTACATTCCAACGATCTATAATGTAGTAACCAACTTTTAACCAATTTTAAAATAAAAGTTTAGAAGAAAAACAATGCAACAATGTAATCAGATGTTAGATGATTGAGAAAGTTTGAAATAGTTGTAGCCGATGTCCAGTGGAAATGTTCCATATTCATGTTGGCTATTTAAGCTAACATAACATCTGCAGTAAAAAGGGTTCAGATCACGACGATGAGGAGGGTACAAGACAAAAAAAATGTACTTTTTTCTCTTCGTATCCCAGCCTCTATCGAATAGGATATGACAAAATAAGAAGCTGTCTTAAGTTCAGAACTGGAGTGCTGGCTGCTAGTCCCAAAGGGATACACTTATAGCATAAGAAAAATATGTATCACTATCATTTTGTGTTCTCAGCTGATCAGGACAAGAGGAACACAGACGTGGATAGTCTTGACACTGAAAATCTATCGACAGGTATTATGATTACTTATTAATATTCCTCTGACTTTTAGTTTTCATTTTTCATAAAATTCCACCTTTACTTCTTGTCTTCGGTGAATTTTTCAATGTTCGCAAATGCCCAGAGCATTTACGCAAACAATAGATGAGTTCTGGACCCAATTATAGACTCAAAGATTGCTAGTATCCTGCCTGTATTCAGAAAAAAATGTTAAACTTTGGAATACATCATCAGAATACATAGCCAACAAATAT